AGTGCACAATTTGTTAAGTGTGTTTAATTTGCCTGAAATGGAATTGATTAAATGTAATATATTTAATTCTATTTTACATGTTATCAAGTATAATCCAAATATCCTACTGTTTGACTTGGGTCATTCCGGTGTCTCAATTAGAGTGTGCAACACTTTCTGTTTACAACACTGTGAGAAGGACTAGGTCCTCATGGTCCTTAGGAATGGACTGTGTGAATAGATACTTTATTTATAAATGTTATTAAACTAATTATCAAGCTTAGGTGAAAAAGGCTGCTGGGAATTGATAGGGTGGGCTCGTTTGTGCATGGGTAGCCAGTAGTAGTGTGTGCATGTGGAGTGTGTTGCAGGTGTGTGCCCTTCTTCAGGATAAGAGCACCGCTGGAGCCTTGTGATGTGCTGGCTGAGATGTGGGTTGCATCCCTTCTCTTCCTCTGTCCCAGCATTGCAAGAAGAGTCTTGTTCCACAGACACTGCATGGGGGGGTCAACTTCACCATCTCTGTGTTTTAAAGAGCTTAAAAGATGTTCTGAGTGGAAGTAAATTTCAGGTTTTCCACTGTGCTCAGCTGAGGATGTGGCTGTTTTTCTAAGATAAATAAGTTGTGGGCTAAACAGCCTTTGAAATGAAAATGTTAATCTAGAATAAGACTGATGTGTCCCTGAACAGTACTAACCAGAAACACACAGATTTTCAAGTTTAATGAAATGTGCAATTAAAGGCATCTTAGAAACATAGGCAAGGGATGTGGAGTGCTCAGGATGTTGTGTAGATCTCTGTTGGGCTGTTCAGCATTTCTGAAAGTCATGACTTTGGTATTCAAAGCTGGACTCTCCAAACTAGCCTCAAAATTAAAAGCTATGTTTGAAAATTTGACCTCTTGCTTTTTTTTTTTTTTTTACTTCTAAGCCTTTATTTTTGTCATATCTGAAGAAGGAAACATTGTTATGAAGGAAGATTAGTCAGCACGGATTTAGATGCTAACATGGTACTCTACTTAAAGGTAGGAGTAGTGTAAAGCCATACCACCCAGGGGGGAACTTCTTCATTGTTAGGTCTTAGGTGAGCACAACACACCTTCAACTGACGTTACTGCATCACCTTTAGATAGTTGTAGTGAAGTTTTTGTCTAAGGTAGAAGATTTGGGACGGAGCTGATGAGGAGGGCATCCATGTTCTTCCTTTTGCTCTTAAACTGGGAATAACTGAATTGTCTAGTGCATTGTGCATCAGAAGAGCCTTTTCCGCTACCTTTACAGGTGAAATCTATCCAGAGACTGAATAATCAGTATCCTTTATGCTTAGAAGAGCTGTAACCTTTCTCTTTGAATGTAAAATATACATCCGTAAATTTTCTGTTGCCTGTAGTGAGGTGGAATTTTCTGATGCAGTACTGTCTTGTGTTTAATGGTATATGCCTCTTGTTTTGCTTTGTGTCTTGTAGGTTCTGGTATGAACTTGCTGCAGATTTGGGAAAAGGTATGGTCACGGTCCTGCCTTGATGCTTGTGCACCTGGATTAGAGGAGAAACTAGGATGCCCTGTGCCATCCCATTCAGTCCTGGTATGTGCCTGTCTAAAAGCAACAAATAGAGCTTTGTGCTGGGAGTTTTGCTAATAGTGTTTTCTTGGAGTATGCTTGTGTGTGCACATGAGCATGCATGTGCCGTTATCCTTGGAGCTACGCTACTTGATTTAATATTTCCAGGTGTGTTGTGAATGTGTATGCCAGAGCAGAAATAGACGTCTTTGAAAACTGGTAGTTGGTGTCTGTCGTAGCTTTCATCATTCATCACCTTGGATTCTTGCATGCCCTGGGCTATGAGGAGAAAAGTTCTGGTAGATGCTCCAGTGATAAGACTCTTTGGGCTACCACCCCATGCCCACAGGCACTTGGTCACTGCAGAACTGTGCGCAGTGTTTATTACTCAACATTTGCTTTTCTTGACAGGGACCTTGTTTTAAACTGTTTGTAGAGTTAATGAGGTAATCTTTGTGAATAATTTGAGATATTTAAAGCTCCTCAGTTCACGTAGTGGTGAAATCAAATCAAGCTGCACATCTCTTAGAGTAAATGAATTTAGTCTTACTTCCCAGCACAAAAAGAGCTATTGCTTTACTGGTGCACGTGTAGGATAGTGTAGATAGCCATCACCTGATCCCTCTGAATTAAGTGCTGATCTTCTGTAATGGAGAGAAAGGTATAAAAAAAAGCCTTATACATGTCCTTGTATTTTTCAAAGATAGTTTTCATCTCTGGGCTATTAAATGTGGCTTAAAAAAATACAGTTATTGACCCCTAAAATAATAGGGGTCATATTCCAGCATTTGATGTTGTGATGTATATTAATGTTGTGTTTCCTCTTATGTTTGCATGAGTTTCTAATTTCTATGTATTAATATTCATGCATGTATGTAAAATAGATGGATATGTTTATGTTACTTGATGTGAATAATTGGAGAGAAACCCAAAGCTAAAATGTTACTATTTGCTTAACCTATTTAAAAATCTAATCTGAGGGTATTTCTATCAACAATAGATAGAAACAACAAAAAAATTTGTTATCTCAACAATAAAAAAATTTGGTTCAAAATCTTTAAAATATTCATTCATACCTTAAATACACAGAAATTGTTATTACAGCTGCTTTTGGGTTTATTAGTTCCATGTTACATTGTGTCATACATTGCAAGATTACGTTCCCTTTTTTTAGCTTTTTTTTCTTCTCTCTTTCTTTCTTTCTTTCCTTAGGGGCCCATTTCTCCATATTATTGTCAGCGTTATGGGTTTAGCCCAGACTGTAAAATAGTAGCATTTACAGGAGACAATCCAGGTGAGATGATTACATCTATAAGATTCAGTGAATATGATTATATATGTATTAAAATTCTACATCAATCTCATTTGTTCTCAGATGAAAGAATATCGTGTTTATCAGCATTAATACCTTTTTCCAACAGTTTTCCATCACTAGTTCTTCTGAGGTATAGACATCTTGGATAAGCTGGGTATGACAAATGAATTCTTTTTTGTGTAGTAATTAGAGGTGACTTCATTTGCCTCTTGATAACTTCAGTTTAGGTTTGCCTGCCCCTAAGAAACTATTCTTACTATGAATTGCTAACATTCTAACTTAGAAAATATGAATTAAAATATTGCTGTGTATCTTTTAAAGCAAACAGGTGGAGATGGACCTCATGGGCTTTCTCTAATATTTAGAGCTGTCCTTTTGTCAGTGTGAGAGAAGGTGTTAATTTAGGGTCAATTTTTTGAATCCTGGGGACTGTTTCAGTGTAGAGCAAAGTTGTCTGTTTCTGAAGACTCTGAAAATAAAATGCTTGTCTGTATTAAAGTAGCATATGTGGGTTTTAATGAAGACGGAGGCTTCATCATGGTATATTTTACATTCATATTCTGGGATATGGTTGAACTGTGCATTTCCCAAAAGTCCAATTTTTCTTCTAGAGTTTCAAATCTGCCTTAGTCCAATAAATATGTGAGTAGTCTGATGTAAATGGGGATGTTTCTTCTTTAAAGCGTGGTGTTTAGTAAGGGTCCACTGTGTTTAAAACCTGAACACGTAAAACATTAGGGAGCCACGCAGTTTCATAGTCTTTTGTCTTGAGCATTTTGGTTTTGCTAAAAATCACTCCCTCGCCCAAATGCTTTGCCCACCTTTTACAGTGTGTCGGTCAAGGCCATCATGAACATGTTTGCCGTTTAGAATGTGCTTTGAGATGCTGAGCGCAATCTTTTATGATGTTTCATACAACATGCTATGCTTGGGTCAAACGAGTAACCTTTTGTCTGGTATTCTGACTCTTTGCTTTCAGCGTCATTGGCAGGGATGAGGCTTCAAGAAGGAGATATTGCAGTAAGTCCAAACATACTCCCGGAAGCTGTCCATATCCCTGAATAAATGAAATACACGAAATGTAAAATAGCTGTAGGTTATCAGTGAGATTTATCTGCTAGTGTTGATTTTCTGTATATTGGATTCACGTTTGTTTTATTTCTATCAATCTGTAAGCTGCCTGAAAGATTTTAAGTAAACTCTTGTGACTATTTTTAACTAATGCTCCAGACATTAAAACCTAAGTCTCCATCTAGTATGTATTTCACTGATGTGACAACCTGAGTCAGAGCTAGCTTCAACATGAATCCAATTGACTTAATGTGTAATTTAAAAACAATTAGTGGTAATAACAAATGGTTTTAATTTAATTTCTGTATTGCTTTCCATGCACATTGTGATAACGTTTCAATTATTTTTTTTCCCCTCCAGATTAGCCTTGGCACAAGCGACACATTGTTTCTGTGGATCCAAGAACCAACTCCTGCCTTAGAAGGTCATATCCTCTGCAATCCTGTTGATTCTCAAACATATATGGCACTTTTATGGTAATATCGTTTATTTTTTGTGCATCTGGGATCAATAACGTGTATTTCTTTCTCTATGTTAGTGTTTTTTTATTGCTTTTGCAAAATGATAATGAATAGAACATTCAGTATTCTGTACGGTATATGGCAATCTATTGCTGAAACATTTGCATCAACATTATAGCGTTCCTATTGTTTAATTTGAGTAACTGAAACTGCAGAGTTGTGGAGGATAAATTCTCATGGCAATAAAAAGCTGAAATTATTTTTACATTACATAGAGCCGGTTCACTATGAGTCTAAGGTAATACATTTAATGTTCAGGAATAACAATCTTCTGAAGTATAATAATGTGAAATGTCAGAAGCTTGACCAGGCTGTATAACTTCTGTGCTCTTCTAGTGATCCAGAGGGGACATAATGGGGCAAGTGAAGATTCCCTTTTCATAGAGGACTATAATCAGTGCTGTTCAGGGATGGATTAAGCTGTGCATGTGGAACATACTGAGATCTCAAGAAGCCCAGCTGAGAGAATGATCCTCATGGTAGCTTTTGGCTGGTGTGATCCGGGAATTGTTTGGCCCCTTGCCAACCAAGTAGGGTGGGAAGATGGCCTGAAGCCACGTTTTTTCCCCTCTCTCAGTCAGTGTATTCACGGGAAGAATTTCCACAATGGGTCATAGTGTTTAGGCAAATATTTACAAGTAATATGCAGATAATTTTTTGTGTCCGAGTCCCCTGTTTTGTAGGTTCTTGTAACTCAAAACTTCAGCAAAGCTCAAATCTGCCCCTTAACTGTAATGTTGAGTCTTACCTGTAAAGTAATAGGATGCTGTAGATGACAGTGGGAACAGTGTTTGTGAAGCTGAATTCAAAAGCATGATCTCAATTGCAAGTTACTGAGTTTCATAGGATGAATTACCAGCAGGTGGTTTGTTGTTGTTGTTTTGTTGGGTTTTTTTTTAAGTTTTGCATTCAAGCTTCTCATTTTCCCCAATATTTTTCCCACTGTTGCTGTGTGAGAACTATATAAACAGCTTGTAATAGAAAAGGAGATGCTGAGGCATTTTTCTGAATAACTGTTATATACCATTCTTTTACTGCAGCTTAACACGTGAAGAAGTCCAAACCTGCCTTTCAGAACACAAGATATTTCTGTGGCCATGCAGATATAAAGAAATCCTGTTCCCCTGCCTGGCCATTTCTTCCCTGATGCTGCCCCTTTTGCACCAATGCCCTTTTTAAAATAAAATAATGGAGTTAATAGAGGACTTTTGTGGATTAGTAGAAAAAGAGGGCCTGAGCTACCAGGCAGAATAATTGTACAGAGAACTCGAGTAACTTCAGCTGCTGCTATTGAGCAAGTTCAATCATTTCCTTGTCCTCTTTCTAGATATTTCTGTGCCTTTCTTGCTGTGTTGCTCTGATAACTCTGTGCTGGACAGTATTCAAACTCCTTTCCTTTGGGTCCAAGTCCAATGCTGCAGTATTTTGCAGGAGTGTTAGATTAACAGAGGGTGCAAGGGAGGTGACTGCATAAAGGGTGCAAAGACCATAAACACTGAACAGATGCATATTTTATGGCATGGCTTACTGGCTCTGGACCAGAACCGTGCAGATGCAGCTGTGGTGCTTTCCTTTGCCAGATCCTGGCATGGAGCTAGACCTCGTAAGTCTTATTGGACTCATGCTGGCTCCATGCTAGTACCATACTCCTGAAATCATAAGTGCAGTGTGGAGACGCTCTTGCTCCTCCTCGCAGAGTCATCTCAGAGCAAGCTTTTTAGTGCTGTGTCAGAGTACTTCTGACAACACATAGTAGACTTACATCTGCACCCACAGCACAGAACGTTTCTCTCTAAAGTAGTTACTAGGGTCATCTGTGGATAGTCTAAAAGTACTATCTACAAGTACTAGTACAATCTAAAAGTTCATCTTGGCTCCTGGGTGCAACCAGACTTGGTGAAGCCCTTTATGGGAGTGCTGGCACAGTGGAGAAATGCAGCTCCACAGGACCTGCCCCAGGGCCAGCATGATTGGAGCTCCTGCTGCTCCATCAGTGCATGTGATGTGTTGTCCAGTGCTTTGAGCTCCAGGAGACCATAGTATGTCAGGCAGTGGGTTGCAACTCCTATGCCTGGAGCTCTGAGGAGATGTCTTAGCTGTTCAGAGAGAGCCTGGGTTTAGCATGGCCTGCCAGACTGGGTCTAAACTGACTTTATGGAGAGATGTGTACCAGCATCTCTGTGCTGCATTTCTGAACACGTCCTGTAATATTTGTTTTCTCTCTTATCTAGTTTTCTCCTTCTCCATCTCTTTCCATAATGAAGAAATGATTGTATCTTTTATCTTGCCCAGCTGTATGCAGCTGATACAATAAACTCCAATATCGAGTAAAACAACAACTTGCTTTAAAAATCTAGAGCCAAATGTTTTGGAAAATGCTTATGGTATGGTTGTGTGTTTCAGTTTTAAGAACGGCTCTCTGATGAGAGAGAGGATCAGAGATGACTGTGCTTCAGGCTCCTGGGATGAATTCTCCAAAGCCTTATCATCAACTGTGGCTGGAAACAATGGAAACTTGGGTATGAGCCTTAGCAGGGTGGGAGTTCCAGGGTTTGCTTAGATACATCATTTTGTGGGAGTTGTATCTGGCTTTTTTACATGGGTCATGATAAAGGCCAAGAATGAAGTTGACTAGAGCAAGGGAAATTCCTAATGTGTGCTTAGAAATGCTCTGTTGGTGGGCTAAGTGTCACAATATTATTTTTCTTTAATATTCACTAAATAAGAGAATTGTATTTGTGGAGCTCTTTTGATCATTGAAAGGGTGTTCATAGCATCTTAGCTGTATAATGTTTAAAACTAGTGATCTCTGAAGGAGGCATTCAGTAAATATTGTTTCCTTTTGCTGAAGACTCAAAGTGGACTAAGCTGCTCCATACTATTTCTTCCTCAATCTTCAATGGTTTTGATCTCTAAACATTACTTTAGAATCTTGTCCGGTGCATGTGAACAAAGCAGTAATAGCAAATGGTGCCTTGATTTCCTGCGTTTTCCCCAACGTATGTCACACAGTCATTTCATCCCTGTTTTTCCCCAAATTATACTAAGTGAATGAAATCAAAGAAAATTATTCTGAATTGATAGGAGTAAAATTAATGTGAAATCACTGTAGATAACAAAGATTTTAAATGTAGATATTTTAAGTTATAGAAGACTTCGCTCCTTACAAAGGTGAATATAAGATAATTTCTTGGCACTGTGAAGCTGTCACTGATTAAATTTTTAGAAGCTCTGTTATGTTGTCTCTCAAACCCAGTCTCTGTGGGGTATTAAAATGATCAGGAATCTCTTTTCACTAGAACACAAATCAATTCAGAAAATGGGAAGAAGCTATTCCAAACCCCAAAAGTCAGCCTTTTTAGACAGTATTAAAAAAACCCTGGAAGTCAATGAAAGTATTGTTACTGATTTCAGGGATACCAGAACACTACCTTAAAGTTTTAAAACTTGTATTATAGTATATTCACTTGGATATCTCAATCCCCTATAAACTGAGTATTTCCTGGAAGTCATCGTCTGTATGCTTGGATAACCTCTGAGTAAACATGTGAAAATACAGTAATCTCCATAATCTGAGTTCCTAAGGGAAGCACAACAAAGCAGTAACAGGTTAGGCACCCTCCCTTTTGTCACTTGTTCCCTGCTCTCCCTATTGTGTGACAGGGTGCCCCTGTGGAATTTTGGAGATGGGAAGAGGCAGCTGCTAGGGTGAGGCTGGGATAATGAGGTTAACAGGGGTAGCAAATAGGGAAGGAGGAGTGGTGAACAGATGAGGGTCCTGTTGCATCTGGGAAGTACTGAAAAGGCTGATAAAAGCAGCAAGTTTATTGGAAGACATCATCTGCCAGATTCAAGGTGGCAGCAGGGTCAGAAGGGAAAATATGAGATACACATCCCCTGGCAGTGCCTGCAAGATCTCTAACCCACAGTGTTGTTTGCTGGCAGCTTTTCAGAACGCTCAACCAAAAAGGTTGTGTGCTAAAGCACAGTACTATTTTGGGGTTTTTCTGGCTAATAATTATAGGGTCGCTAGGGCAGCAAACTCTTGTTCCCAGGTCTGAACCTTAGAAACTCTCCTTAGTTTCTTAGCTATTCTCTTCATTTTTTCCGTCCTCGTTTCCTTTTTTGTCTCTTTTCTTGAATATCTTTTCTGACCAACCCTTTTTGCCATCAACACAAAAGAAATCTTTTTCACACTTTTTGTCTAGCTGTCTGCAAAGCATTACTGCATTTCTTCAGATCTCATCAAAACTATTCAGAGACCAGCTCTGCTTCAGGACTTAAAATATCTGATGTTCCCTAATAAGCTCATGAAATCTAATCCAGTGCATGAAGTGTTCCTGTATTCCTGTACTCTTCTTACTAACTTACCATTTTTCTGGGTTTTTTTTTTTGGTTTTTCTTTCACCTTTGCATATGACCTACTGAAGCTATTTCTAAGATGTGTTATGTATTATCGATGTTACTTGCGTGTGTGCATGTTCTGGTGGATGCGTGCTCTTTTGTAGGCATGCTGTTATTGCACCGTTTGGATGCCTAGAGCCAGTCATGCTTAAGATCCACATTTTTGTAAACTGAAAGTAGTTAAATTCCATAAGTGCCTGGACTGAAATTAGTTAAGAAACAGGCTGTGTCATGACTCCAGTGTTTTTCCAAATATGTGATAAACATTTATTATCATTTAGCTGTGTGCTGAAGTAAGATTTCAACTTTGGGCTAGGAGCAAACGTGACGCTCTTTAACGTTCCTTGATGCAGGTTTCTACTTTGATGTGATGGAAATTACTCCTGAAGCAGTTGGGATTCACAGATTCAACAGAGACAACCAAAAGGTAGAAATAACCTAGTTAACATCTCAAACCTTGAAGGAGTACTGTCAAGGCTTGAAATCTTTCCAGTTATCTTTTTTTTTTTTTTTTGACTGAGATATTTGCTTTCAGTTGCAAGTCCCTGGGATGATTTTCGTAAGGAAGTATTTGTTCTGTAGCTTGAGAGTTTCTATAGAGCAAAGTCTAAACTAGAACTTAAATGGTACTTTTTTAGGAAATATTTCCTTTACTGGAAAATGTAGATTTACTGAAACCAACAGTATTTCTGAAGCAGGATTAGCTTTAAGCTTATTGAAAGCTTAGTACACTTACATGACTTAGTCCCCATCTTCTAAGTTTCAAACACATAGATAAGGACGTGTTGAAACTCTGGGCTGTAATATTTTGTTTTTTATCGTGCTCTAAATGAGTATATAAAGACAGGACGTCATTTTGCTGTCCTGCATATCTTGGAGTAACCTATAAGCCACACAGTGGCATGTAAGGAAACACAGAGTCAAGTCCAATTGGAATTAAAATAGAGATTATGTTACGAAAAGTTCTTTTTATCTTTTTTCTTTTGAGGAACGGATGTTTAAATGTCTGCCTTTCTGGGTGGTACTGAAACTCAACAGATGTCTTTGATCAATCATGACTCCCAGTCGATTAGACCTCACCTAGGTGAACAGAGATTGATACTATCTTGTGTTTGCAGTGTAGCACTAGTCTCTTAAATGTTTGCTGTTTAAATGAATGCTTAATCACTTCTAGCTGTTACGCAAGTTGTAGGCACTTATTGTAGTGCATGGAAAAACTCAACTTTCTGTGAAGGGTTCTTTGTGTTTGTTTGCAGCTCAATATTTTCTTACTTCTGTTGCCTTTCTTGTATTCTGGTTGATGAAAGGACAGAAAAGTGTTATATATAGAAACTAAATAACTTAATGAAAATATTACATGGTTTCACTTTTGTGCAGACAGAAATAGATTTAAACTTTTGTGACGTTACTTAATGCATCTGAATTTTATCTGCTTGCTTTAATTTTGTGTTTTTGAGAAACTGGTTCTTAAGCAGCCTTTGGTGCTGGGAAACGCATAGAGAAGAGTTTATAACTTGCAGTAGAACCTCTTCCCATCATGCATTGATTTCAAGTTTGATGGATTTACCAACAGCACTGAGGTTATGGGTTGGGTTCTTTGTCATGAGTGTTTAGGTCCGTCTTGTGTGTAAGTGAAGAACTGGGCCTAGTTGAAAGCAGACTTCAGGGTGAAAGCAAGGATAATCAGCTATAAATCTGTCTTGTGTTTTTAACCAGTCTTCATCTTGCATTGTATACTGTGTGAGGTGCTTGTTAACGTATTCCCTCTTTCATACAGGTTTCAGACTTCCCAAAGGAGGTGGAAATACGAGCGTTGATTGAAGGGCAGTTCATGGCCAAGAGGGTTCATGCTGAAAAGCTGGGATATAAAGTCAGTAAGTATGATGGAAAGCTGCAGAACTAATGGCACTAGAGATGAAACACAAAGATAGGAGTCCCGACAGTAATGTTGGTGATTCTTGTCCTGCCTAACAGAAACCGGTAAGAATTCTAAATTAGCCTCTTGGAAAAATTTTTCAAGGTATGTTGGGGGCAAGTTTTTGCAGATGTTAACTTTAGAAGGACCAATGCTTTAACTTTAAGATGACTTCCTTTTCAGGTATTCATGCTGTTTCATTGTTATTGAGCTGCATTGTCAATTTTTAAATAAGAGTTTGGGCTTTGAGAGCTTGTTAAGTGAAAACTAGACCAACTTTCTCCCTAAAGCATGAGACTGTAACTCAGAAAATATGAAATCTATGTTCAGTTCTTGGATCTCCCATAAGCTGGTCACTTACCTCTTTACCTCATTTTTCTGTTAATAAAGCAGAAGCCCTTCCCCATTTTGTGATTTAGAAAGCAAGAGATCCCTCTTCCTAGTATTTATGGGTAGTTTTTAGCACATCAGAACAACAAAGTTGGCCAGTATTTTGCCTATAGAAGTGGGATCAGATCATTACTAGCTGTGCAGTTCTAAAAAAGAATACTGAAAAGTTGGTAGGATGTTTTATTGGCGTTTTCTGTCAGTGTATCAGCCAGTGGCATTTTAAAGAGTACTGAATTAACTCATCTTCAGGGTTTTTAACCAATGTTTTATTTTTTAAAATCATATTATTTTTATTTACCTCCTGACCTCCTTCTTTACAAGCCATTGCTTGACTCCTACCTTCAGGCTTTAATCCCTAATCATGAAGGATAGAATTTTTTGATATTTTATTTTTAAGAGAGAGCTCCAGGAGCTGAAAGTTGAGAAAATATAGAGGTACTGGAACAAATCACAAGGCTTGGCAACACCACCTCATAAATTTACACTGTAAAGGTTTTCCTGTTATATATTTTCTTATATACTTGAAACCATATTTATTTGGGGAGGTTATTTATGGAGACAGGCAGAGATTCAAATAGGTCGTGTTTAAAATACCTGTTTATCCTTCATTCCTAGATTCTGCTGCACCAAAAGCTTGGTTTATATAGCCTAGAAAGCTCATGGCTGAAGAGGATACTTTTGCACTCTGTAAATGTCAGGGGTTAGACAAACACCAGAGCGTGAGAACTATTTAAGATATCAGACAACTCTGACACAGGAACAAATGGGTAGAAATTGTCTGTAAATATATTTAGGCTAAATAGGACAGGCAAAAATCTAATTAGTTTTAGGATGTGGCTTAATAAGCTTTAAAAACTCTATTTTTTTAAAAAAAATATTTTTTAATGCTGTAGATGCCTACAGTAAAAAGGAGATGGATGTGATTGCATTGTGTTCCTGTAGATTCCTCGCAACCTTGTATGCTTTTGTTTTGTTGCATCCCAAGGGTCTTTTAGCTATTTGGTAACTAATAGATGAGTTGCTCTAAAAAAGAACTGCTGTACATAGTGTGGGCTGTATGCATCTCCCATTTTTCCATAGTGGTATTATTTAAATGTCATATTCTGTTATTTGTGTAGTGATGGCAGCCTTACATCTGCATTTCTGGTGTGACAGCTCTGAAAACAGAATGTGTTCTGAATGTGTTTCGTGGTACGGATGAGCATTGTGGGAATTACTCTGGTATTGCCAGGCTTTCTCTTGTTTAATAGCTGCTGTTTTTCAGGCTGCTTTTTTTGTTTGTTTTAATGTGATTTAAAAGCTTATATATCTTTTGGATGAAATACGCAGTCAGAACCCTTGTGTTTATTCAATTCCTTTTAGGCCTTGTCTACATGGGGAATTTACTTTGATTTTTCCGGGAATCAAGCTGATTTACGTTCAGAAATATAATCACAGCAGTGTAAATCTTGGCTGTTTTTGTTATTGTTGTTTACACCAATGGGAGAATACAGTAATAACTGCTCGCAAGATCTGGAAAGTTATATGATGACACCAATTAAATTGATCTGTAACAGAAATGGAAGTGACATGGTCAGTCACAACAAACGCTTTGCTGTGGTATCCTGAGCTTCGTGTGGTGCCGTCTCAGTGGTGCAAATGAGTCAGAAATCTGGCTGAGAGTTTCTTTAGCACTGGCACCAAGGTGCTGGAAAATCGCTTTGGCAGAGTCGTGAACCTGCCTCTCTGTTCTTGGGCCAAACGTGGTTTGGATGCCTGGAATCTGAAAAGAGCAGCGTACGTGGAAGAGAATTTCGTAAAAATAAATAAATAACAGTCTGTTCTATAGAGTTCTTGGTTATGCACTGTGAACATGACAAACAGTGCATAATCCCTTAGAATTTACTTTCAGTTAATGAATATACTATCATGCCAGCAGCAGTATTTTGAATCCTCAGTCTAGCAGGCTCTGCAGGAAGAAGTGCAACGATGCTGAAAGAGTGTTTTATATGTGAGGTTTTGTTCCCAGATTGATGCGTCCGGTATGTTATAGATCTTCCATAAATTACAAATAATAGTTTAAAAACCCCTTAAAACAGCTCCTCAGGTGCTGTTTGTGCTCGCCTGCAGGCACGCACGCAGGTTTCAGTGCAGCTCGAGTGCCGGCAGAGGGCAGGGGATTCTGCCTCATGATTTTATTCTTTGAGGCTGGGATGTGTGTGTCAGCCTTGTTTGGAAAATGGCACGGAGTCACCAGATGATCCTTAGGAGACAAGTTAAACCTTACATTAATTGTGATTTAAGGGTTTTAAAAGTGTGTGTCACTCTGGTCTAATTGCTCTAATCTTTCTCCATCAGATTTCAGGGGAAATCATTCAGTAACACCCTGTATCCTGTTTTGCTTATGTGCTTAAGGGGTAGATAGAGCGTTGTGGTCTAGAAACAAACAAGTGAAGTTTGATCTGTCCCTGTTGTTTACATCCTCTGATTCAGAGATTCATGTAGATAAGGTGAAGGTTTGCTGTTCTGCCTTCATTTTTCCTGAATTTTGATTGTATCATAAACACCTTATGTTTTGTCACTTCCTTTTTCTGCTTGCAGCCATTCCCTTCTGAAAGTTAAACTGGCAACTGGAGTTCACAGGCTAATCATACAGACATGCTTGTGGTGTGAGGACTCTGAAGTTAAACCCATGGCAAATTTATAGAGAAATGACAGTGTCTGCAGCTCAGTGACACAGGTGATCACAGCAGCTATAAAGCTGTCAGGGGTTCAGACTGATCTGCTAGTATATACTTTAATAATCTTGATGATCGCTTCAGAGTTGCTTCTATTCCTGACCAAGCAATCCTAAAATTCATATTGATACTGATTGGAGAATGTTGCAATGGTCCTTGCGTGGACCTAGTAAAGCTGTCCTGGTGAAGACCCACAAAACTGATTATTCTTGGAAGCAAAATCTACCCCTTCCTGCCCACTGATGGGTGAAGTATTGCCGTGATGTATGTTATGTATGCTGAAGGAAAACAGCACACGGGTAGGATTCTGGTGTCGATCACACATGCAGTCAACAGATATTTAAATGATGTGCTGGTTTACAGAGTAGAAACCTCCATGGTGATGGTGATCTGAGCACTAAGTCTATACCTCCTGGGGCAGGTGTGTGCTAGAGTTGTGTCATGCTTTTGTGGGACTGCAGCAGCGATTAATAAATCCTGCCTGGTAGGTAGGCTGATTATCTGCAGTGGGATCTGCATTGAAGCTGTTGGCTTTGGACAGGGCTTTCTGCCTTCACGTTGTTGAGCCTGTCAGTGGTTCATAGTACTCCAGTTGCCCAATGTGCTGTTCGTGTCACATTTATACCTTTAAGAATCTGATTCTGCCACCTAACTGTCATCAGCAGTGGGAGATGGATAGAAGGTGCCAAATTTTACAAGCGCAAGCTTTGTCCATAAAATCCTGCGTCTGTGTTTATTATGTAATTTACAGTTTCTTACATACATAAATCCATCACTTGCAAATAATGCTGGTGCCCTGAATTCTACTGACTGTACTTGATGCTTAAGTACTGGCTGGGGTGACACAGACATGCCCATGGCTTTGCACTGGTTTAAGAATGAGCCAATTTTTTTTCCTTGAGTGCTACATGTTACTAGTGTTTCAAATGTGTGAAGGTACATCTTTCTGATTGGATATACAACAGGATGCATTCTTAAACAAAACAACATTCCTGCAGTGCTAGGGGAAATAAAGGGAAATATCAGACTATGCTGGGCCTCGCTTCTCAGTGGTTAGAGGAGGAACTTACATTTTTCTGAAGAACTCAGTCTAAGATTACATGGGGGCAAACTCCAAGGTGCCAAATCTCCCTTTTCTTCAGGTAGTGTTTTCATGCAAATGCTCTTTTCAGCAGGTTGAATGTAGTAATAATGTGTGACTCTTTATCTGCAGGAGAGGCAGTCTGATGGAGCGAGGGGAGCTCAGAAAACATCAATTATTATAACATGGAGCAGTTGTGTTTCGTTGCTCATGTTGTGATGTGGAGGCGCAGAAGGCTGAAGATGAGGTGTGAGGCTGTCATTTCACAGCAGTGTTGGTCCGTTGGAGGATGAAGTGGCTCTCCGGTTTGGCAGGGCTAGATACCACTGGTCCTCGGGACACTCCAGGAATGGCTTTTGTCAGGCTTTGAGATAGGTTTTAATTCTGGTGGTTGTCTCGGACTGACTGGCTTCTGTGACAATAGACTCCAAAACTCTTATGAATTATCAAGAACGTTGGGCTACTTGTTCCATCAGTCGCCTTTGCCGTCACTGCTGTGTTTCTTCTCAGTTGTAGCAGTGTTTTGGCTGAAATAAGGAACACTGAGTGAGGCCATTTTGTAGTTGCATACGGATTAAATTGATGTTTATGCCCTGCAGGATTTAAATTTCTTAGAGAAATCAATACTAAAATGTTGTGTTGGCTTCGTGCTCGTCTCTTGCTGTTTGCTGCTAAGAGTGCTGATGGTGTTTCAGCAGCACGAGGGTGACAGCTTTGTTAGAGGCCTTGTGCTTCAGCAAGTGAGTGAAAACAATTTAAAAATAATTAGAA